GAACACTGTGCCCACGTTTTATGGTGGCACATAGTAACAACAACAAAAAATACACCTGGCTGGAAAAATCCAAACAGAATCATGAACAGGAAAATTTCAGGTCTTCTAATAACAAGTCTTAGTTTGATGACTGTCTCTATGATGGAGAGGAGATTGAAAGTAAATCAGGGGCGCCTGGGTGGCTCAGTTGGTTAAGCGACTACCTTTGGCTCAGGTCATGATCCTGGGGTCCTGGGATCGAGTCCCGCATCTGGCTCCCTGCTCGGCAGGGAGTCTGCTTCTCCCTCTGACCCTTCCCCCTCTCATGTGCTCTCTCTCATTCTTTCTCTCAAATAAATAAATAAAATCTTAAAAAAAAAAAAGAAAGTAAATCAAAAGGTGTGTTTTTTATATTTGTTGAGCCAATTTGTTTGAGAGTTACACAATTTGAAAACAGTTAATAATGACTGATAAATTTTTGGAACGGGTGTGAGCCCAGGAATAAACAACAAAATGAAAATTCAAGCATTGTGAAAAATAATCACACCACCCACTCTCTATGCAACCTCTGCCAATTGTGATGCTTCCTCTGGAAGATTTTCTGGCTTTTGTGGGTACAAAGAATAATGGAGACCTTTATTAATAATGAGTCAATATGGGGAGAGTTTAAAATATAGATTTCTTATCAGATAAATAGGTTTCAGAAGTAAAGTCACATACGTATTAAAAACTATAGAAAAATGATAGGTTTTGTTTGCATATTGGTCAGGGCCCTTGACAGAATTTTACAAAGAAGTTTGTCTTGTTTCTGTTTTAACACCTACTAAAATATGTAAGCCTGACAAAATACTGTTCCCATGAAACCACTTTGAAGCTCTGGGTGGGTTTGGACTTATGTGGGTTATTTATTTATTTTTATTTTCCCTCATTTGTTTGCATTTTCTGAGGGTTTTTTTTTCCTTTCTTAAAATCAATAACAAAAATTTAAAAATTGCCATTAGAATAATTTGTTGGAAATTTGTTTTTTAATGAGTTCTATTATCTGAAACGTATTTGTGTATGCCAAGAAAATAAATATCAAGATAATTACTATCCACAGCTTTTTCTACCCACCATGTTGAAAGTCTACAGCAAGGAAAAGCAGATGAGATCAATTTTGTTTTTTGTTTTTTTCTGTTTTTTTGTTTTATTTAAGGCTTTCTTTAGAGAAAGTGGCTGTTGACAAGGTTAATTTAAACATATTTAAGACCAACAGTTGACTGAAAAGTAGTTTTCTGTGTGTTTGTTTTCCTCCAACTTTATTTTTGTCTGTATCACAAAACTGTAATACTTTTAACTTAATCAGCACCTAATGGCAGAAGGACGACCCATTTCAGCTAGAGGTTGAGATGAGTCCTTGGCCAGGTGCACAGGGTACTCTGAATTTAATGGCTTTCAGAGAATGGCACTGGAGCTATTTCCTAAGGCAACTGTAAAAAGCCACTGGAGTGGAATGCAAGTTATTCTTCCAACCCCCCCATATATGTACCTTAAATTAATCTTACATGTCAGAATGGACTCTTCTGTCGGCTGCTTGAAAATAACTTGAGGGATGAGGTCATAGGCTGGTTATTATTGTTTGCCTTAAATGCACGTAAGAGTGACAGATGTAATTGAACTTTTATGTAGTCCATTACTAAAATAGCTTTAATGTTAATTAAGGAAACTCTAATGTAAGTGTGCTTTGTAAAAGCTGAGGCAACTGTGGCCTAAACCATTGTTTGTAGAGATAGAGCAATGAAAATAAAACTAAAAAATTTTTTTTTAAAGATTATTTATTTATTTATTTATTTGAGAGAGAGAGAGAGAGAATGAGAGATAGAAAGCACAAGAGGGAAGAGGGTCAGAGGGAGAAGCAGACTCCCTGCTAAGCAGGGAGCCCGATGTGGGACTCGATCCTGGGACTCCAGGATCATGACCTGAGCCAAAGGCAGTCGCTTAACCAACTGAGCCACCCAGGCGCCCATAAAACTAAAATTTTGACAAATATATAAAGATTGATGATCTGACAAATAATTAGTTATATAATACTTAATACTTATATCATTTTTTCAGATTTATTCAGATCATGTGGCATTTATGATAGTTTTGGTTAATATACTGCAATAAAAACTTTTAACTTCTCTGTTTTAAACTGTTTTCCTAGTCTCTTATGAGAAACTGCATAGAGACATCTCCCACCCACCAAAAACATATAAAAAGCATGTAACACTCTGGCACCTTGAAAAATTAATTTCAGCATTAGCCCAAGATAATTGAAAATTGCGCATTACTAAATGTAAATGTGTAGTGACATATTCTCTGTCAGCTAGAGTGCAGCTCTTAATGGGAGTTGTTTAACTTTTCAGATTATTTTAAAGGAGTCTAGAATGATTGTTGCCAGTCCCTTCCTCATTCCCTTCAACCACAGCAACAAAAAAGTAGAACCTTTCTAACATGTGGGTCTTAGTTCTTCATTTTCTCTTTCAATTATGGCCCAAGAATGGAGCCCAAGAATGATTTGAGGGAAACTGTAAGCCATATTTCTCCTCAACTCCAGTCTGAAGTTAGAAGTCTGTAGAAAGAACAAGGCACATATATTGGAATCCAACTCTTGGAGGACATCAAAAAGAGAATTTTCAAGTCATTTCTTGTACAACCAGCTGTTCAAATTAGCATACAGTCATTTCAGCCTTTATAAATAAAAGGGTTTTCTTAACCTTATAAAAACACAATGGCTTGACTATGGCTATCCTTGGGAGTTTAAAACAATGACATAGGATACTGTTATTAAGAGTGAATATGAATCAATATCTGAAGCAAAGTTCTTATAAAATTGCCATCTTCAAAACCCATTTTTTTACACATGTATTTTACTGGAATTGTTTTTTGTAGTCACGTGGTTTTTTTCAGGTATAAATGGATGAGCTATTTGCATTTCCTTATGCATTACATAAGGAAAAGGAAATTTACCCAAGGAAAATTTCTCTTTTGGGGATGCCTGGCTGGCTCAGTCAGAGAACTGTGTGATTCGTGAGTTTGAGCCCCATGTTGGGTGTAGAGATAACTTAAATAAATAAAACTTTAGGGGCGCCTGGGTGGCTCAGTATCGGGCTCCCTGCTCAGCGGGGAGCCTGCTTCCCCTTCTCCCACTCCCCCTGCTTGTGTTCCTTCTCTCGCTGTGTCTCTCTCTGTCAAATAAATAAAATCTTAAAAAATAATAAAAAATAAATAAAACTTTAAAAAACATAAAGAGAAAGTTTGTCCCGTTCTTGCCCCATTGTAGTCAGAATCATTATTGATAAACAGCAACATAGCTCAGACACAGCTCTTCTGGTTTACCCCAGAATGGGTAGTTAATGTAAAGCCACTTAAAAGTCAGTGAGAGAGAGAGACTGAGGCTGTAATTTAAGAGACTTTGCCCTCCTCCATCTTTCATGTCTGTCATGTGGGTCTCGTGGTCTGATCAGTGCAGCCATTGCCTCTACTACCTATGTCTATTCAGCCTCGTTTCCATATCCTGGGTATTTATTAAAGGAGATTTTTGTACAACTTCACCCCACACTGATCACTCCTTTCTTTCTCCAGTTCCTTTGGAGTATATCTTCTGTACCAAAAAAAAAAATTAGTACTGATTTGTAAATTCTTTTGTTCACAAATCCATTTGTATGTATCTGCATGTGTGTTTTGAATCTCCATCAAGATTTTAAGTTCCTTGTGGGCATGAACTATTTCTTGCAGTTGTCTTATTTTGTTTTCCCTTAGTGCCGATTACAATGTCAGACACAAAATAGGGACTCCATTAAGTATTTGGTGGTTGGTAGTTAAGAGGATCAAAGAAAAGGGTCAGCCAGGAGTTATGTATGTGTTAGCTTCTGGTAAATATAGTAGCAAAAAAGTTCTCTTCCTCTGCTCCTCTGCTTTTTATTACAGAAAGCAGTAACTGGATTATTCTAGAAAAGAGGAGGTGAAGTTAATACTTATAAGGGAGACCATTAGGTGCTGTTGCAAATACATATTGACATACCTTTTGCCGACCGCAGGAGATTGGGCTCATCTACCTTTTAGCCCTGTTATGGGAGATGAGAAAATAAAAGGTACAGAAAATAGAGATGTTTGATTTTCTGAGTTGCCTCAAGTTACCATTTTAAAAAAAACGCCTGCAAGCATTTCTAAAGGGATCCTGGTCGCTGGTTGCCAAACCGGTTTAACAGCACTGCCCCCACGTACTGTGGGTGAGAGGGAGCTCCGAGTACATAAACTTATCAGAGATCACTGCCCCAGTCATTTCAGAGCAAGTTGTTTAGTAATGTACTGTAGTTTCTGTGCAAACCATCTACCATAAACCACGAAGTGATTCAAGGTTCATAGTTTCCTTCTTTGTTCCTTTGTTAATCACTGACTTCTGACTAGTGGGAGGTGCCTCCCAAATTTGCTAATGCATTCTTTTTGGATAAGGATGACGCACAGATTGTCCTAATAAGGACTTAGATTGAGAAAGGACCGCCCCCTCTGAGAAGATGGGACAAGTCAGAGAGAGGGCGGGCAGTTTCTTTTTCAACTGGGGATGACACAAGCATAAGTCATTTCCTTATTAATCGGTTCAAACCAGTTCTTACAGGAACTGGTGGTGATAAATGTGGGACTTCTCAGAAGTCATTCATTTTATTCTTTGTGCCATACCAGTGTGCAGCATCAGCTTAGCTGGCCTCACTCTGAGGATGAACTCTTCTGCTAGAAGGGGCTCAGCTCCTACTTTCTCCCTGACATGTTATGTTGGTGGAAGAGATTTTTCTCCTCTAAGGGGTTGTTAAAGGATGAATTTTACCCACTGAGAAAAGTTCAGAGGACTTGCCAGCTCTGCTGATTGTTGTATTTTTGTTCTCTTTCTGTCCAATCCCTGCTTTTTGAATCTAGGTGGTAAGTGGATTTTTCTTTAACATTTTTCCTGCTTTTCTCCCCAAATGTATCTTTTTCCTTGGGTTATTGTGCCCTGCTTCCAGCGCTGTCCCCGGCGTAGGTCCATCTCTGCAGAAGCCATTCCAGGAATACCTGGAGGCCCAGCGGCAGAAGCTTCACCACAAAAGTGAAATGGGCACACCACAGGTGAGACTTGACTCCGTTTTCTTCTCTTCCCCACCCCCACGGTTTCAGGCTGAAGTTACATTCACAGCACTCACTGGCATTTTTAGGCAAATAGAGCAAGGTTTGTCAGTCTCCCTTAACGGAGGTTGAGGCTCTACTTACTCTCTACTGGGAAATCGTCTTTGTCTAAATCAGAAATGTAATTTCTATTTTGTATCTATCTTCTCCCAAAAACCAAAAGTAGGGTTAACAGAAAATAATGGATCTGTTACGTAGGAGTTGTTGACTGATCTTAAATGATTTATTAGCAAATATACTTCCCAAGTGGATTAAAAATTTAAAATTTGTAGCATTTTGTAGCATAAGAAAGTATTAGACTAACTGAGGCCATTTGAATATCTCCCTTCATTTTTGCCCTATTTTTCTTTTCAGAGATGGGAAAATAATCTTTTTTTTTTTTAAATCAACTAAGGCTCTTCACATAGCTGAACTTAAAAACTTTAACTTATTAAACTAAGCCTGCCTTTTCTGTAAACGGTTCTGTGGCAAAGGGAAATGACTGGAAGAGGATGAGTAAGCAGGAACCTGAAATGGGAAACTTGAAGGACGCATACTTGTTGGATTTTTTTTTTTTTTTTAAATATAGGTTCCACGCCTAGCGTGGAGCCCATTGCGGGGCTTGAACTCACGACCCTGAGATCAAGACCTGAGCTGAAATCAAGAGTAAGACACTTAACCTAACCACCTAGCCACACAGGCACCCCAATTGTTGGTTTGGTTTGTTGTTGTTGTTGTTGTTGTTTTGATGGCCTTAGACTCTGTGTGGCCCTTTGCTGCCCTCAGTTGACCAAACATGACTTCAGGAAGAGATCACCTATTTTAAAAGCTGCTCCCAGTGCTGGAACAAGAATATGTAACTATCCTGATACTACTCTGTACAAGTATCTACATGGCAACTTCAGAAAGTAGAATTTAATCAATTTCATTCTTAGGTAGTAAAAGATAAGAGGCCACCTCACACTTGGCCCATTCTAAACTATGTGAATCAGCATTGACTTTACATCTAACAAAGTGGAATCTTAGTAACTGGCTGTTAACAGTCTTGAACGTAGACTTCAGGGTACCTGGAGATGTAAGACTTCTCATTTTGTTTCTCGACTTTATAGGTTATAAGCTCTGAGTTCCCATCATTTTCCTTAAATACTGTAGATGATTCCCTTTTTATTACTGAACTAATGAAGTGTTTCTCCTGGATTGTTCTGCATTTATTCTCGCAGGGAGAAAACTGGTTGTCCTGGGTGTTTGAGAAGTTGGTCGTCGTAATGGTGTGTTACTTCATCCTGTCCATCGTTAACTCCATGGCACAAAGTTATGCCAAACGAATGCAGCAGCGGTTGAACTCAGAGGAAAAAACTAAATAAGCAGGAAAAGGTTTTAATGGCAGAAGTTAGAATGGATGGGTTCTACCTTAAATTGGGAGGACTCCAAACCAGGAAGGAAAATTCCCTTTTCCAACCTGTATCAATTTTAATTTTTTTTTTCCTGAAAGCAGTTTAGTCCATATTTTGCACTGACATACTTTTCCTTTGTGTGTTAAGGTAAGGTATCCACCCTCAAATTCAATCCAACTTGTGTTTTATTAGGGTGGAATGTGATGTTCAGCAGCAAACTTAACAGAAACTGGCCTTTTCTTTGTTACTTTCCAAAGGCCCACGTGGTACAGTTAAAGAATTCCGGACACCAAAAAATAGTTCCTAAGTATGTTGAATATGTCAAGCCATTTAGGCTTGTCAGAAATGACTCCTTTGTTTTTCTAAGTCATTAAAATGTATATAAATTATACTAGATTGGATAACAGTCTTGCATGTGTATCATGGTAAAACTTAATATGCCATCCTGCCCAGCCCTTCCTCTCCTACCTTAAAAAAAAGGCCATTTTATGATGCATTGCACACCCTCTGGGGAAACTGATCTTTAAATTTTGAGACAGTATAAGAAAATTCTGGTTGGTGTCTCATGAATGAGCTGACACCATTTTTTATTCTGTATATTTAGAATGAAGTCATGAACAAACTTTATAAAGACATCTTTGATCATTCCAAAATTGTGTCCGTTTTCTTGAGCGTTTTGATTTTTGCTTCGTTTTAGCCACTACCAACTAATGGTCAGCCTTGCCAAATCTACCTACAACCATAATTTCTTAAGCCTTCATTTATTTACATTTAAGAGCCACCACCAAGGCACTTTTTTGTTAGGTTGGAATCGGGCAGCTTGCTACACGTTGCTGAACTGGCAGCTTACGGATTTGCAAGGCAAGGGGTTTGTGAAAACGGGAGAAATGAAAGTATGTAAATTAAAGGGCACTGAAGAGAGAAATAACTAATTTTGTTTGTTTTTTAAAAAACTACACTTTCTCATATCTGTGTTAATTTTAGCTCAGCGTGTACACTGGTTTTGACAAATTTACTTTTTAATGTAACCTAATTTTCTTGCCTTCTTCAGTAAGTGTTACATCCTTTTGTGATTTTCTTTTGGGATATTTCTGGTTGAACTTGGTCATTTTGTTTTGCTTGGGAGGAAAATAAACAGTTTCACTTTTTTTCTTTAGGAAGATTGTTTCTGACGTTATGTTAAGAGTAGAATTGGGTTTAAATCTCAACAGGCCAGAAGTGCCTGTTTGTTTTATAAAATCCTGCCTGAATGTCTGCTTACTTTTGCCTACCGTCGCGACATCTCCATGGCTGTACCACCTTGTCGGGTAGCTTATCAGACTGATGTTGACTGTTGAATCTCATGGCAACAGCAGTCGATGGGCTGTCTGACATTTTGGTATCTTTCATCTGACCATCCATATTCCCATTTAAACATTACTTAGCCTCATGGTTTATGATCAGAAACTCTAGTCCTTACGCCTAGTGGCACTTTGAATCTTTTATGCCATGATACTGCAGGAGTATCGAGACGATTTTATGGAAAATTGGGATGGTCTCCATGACCACAGCTAAATAAAGGACCAACAGCCTGCCTTGTGGGTTTTGAAAAGGTTATTATTCTTAACAATCTTTTTTTCTGCCCAGGGACCTTCTGGCAATGTGATTGATCCTTTATTTGAAAAGCCGTACCCAGGTGCTCTATTGTAAAGAGATTCACGTTAACCAACATAATTTTTTAGATTCATTAGGGTTAGCATGAATTGCTAAGTCAGCTTCCAGTTGGGTTTCATCTCTTTCACCTGCATTTTATTTGGTGTTTGAAGAAAGGAAAGAGGAAATCAAATATGAATTATACTATTTGTACTAAATCTTTAAGGTTTATTGGTAAATTTATTTCAGGGTAAGGAATTAGAAAAAGAAAAATATTTCTTAGACTGATGGTCTAAGTAATTAGTACATTTGACTTAGGATGATGGTTTGTTCACTTTTCAAATGAATTTGCTTGGAAAACAGAGAAGAGCAGCTGTCTTCCTTCCCTCCGCTAAGCGTTCAGGTGTGGCACACTCAGATGCTCCTGCCGGTTTCCCACTGGGGCAGAACGGCACCCTCTGTTCCAGTGGTTGGTTGGTTCCTTTCTTGTATCCACCAAAGTAGACACAAACAACAACTACATGATCCCAAAGACAAACCTAGTTGATTCCAGGTGATGGAAGACCAGAACATGTGTAAGTGGATGGTTTGATATTACTGCAAATAAAAAAAGGGGCCTGGGAATTCTAATTCCGTCTACTTTAAGTGTCATTTTGTGCTTTGAATTTCTGTGGTACTTGATTATGTCTCAGCTCCATGACGGGCGAGCAGTGCGATACGACGTAACGCAGTAGAACAGCAGTTTATGCGCTTGCGCTTACGCACTAGGGAGCACCTCCCTTCAAACGGCTCGTGTAACGTGGGGAGCTTGCCGTGGTAACTCTATATAACCTGGAGTGTGGGGCTCCAAGGAAAGGGAGAATTTTACTTCATCTGGATGATGGCCACCCTCCTCATACTCTAAAAATCAGAAAAAGATAAGGCCAGAGTGCAGTTTCTGAAGTAGGCTAGTTTAGTGGATGCAGTAGCAAGTGCTCCCGCATAAACAAGCTCAGCCTGTTTCCAGGGCGCTCTGCTGGCTCTAGCTTTAGTAGGACCGCATGCGGCTTGTCTTCCTTTCACAACTCAGCTGTGGTTCCTTTGAGTACAGTCAGTGCATTAAGCTAATTAGAATAACTGGTTGCCCTCTCCTACCCTGGGGTGAACGGTGTTTTGAATGACCCATGTGTAAGGCGCTCATAGGAGTTCCCAACCTTTTAGTGTCAAAAAGCCTTCCATAATTTTGAAAACCACTCCGTGTCTAACAGGCTATGTTAATGGTGGTTTACAATTATACCTTTCATGTAGGTGACCTTGAGAAAGTCTTAAACGCTAAGCCTAGATTTCATCTATAAAAACAGAAATAGGGACGCCTGGGTGGCTCAGTCGGTAAAGCATCTGCCTTCGGGTCAGGTCAAGATCCCAGGGTGCTGGGATCAAGTCCCACATCGGGCTCCTCTCAGTGGGGAGCCTGCTTCTCCCCTACTCCCCCTGCTTGTGTTCTCTCTCCCTCTCTCAGATACAAAAAAAAAAAACCAGAACTAGCTCAGATTGTTCTAAGGATTAAATCGGATAAAATATAAAGTACTGCCATAAATGTTAGTGTATTCTCGTTTTTAATTCATCAAAGACAGCATTTGATACACATGCAAGAATTTTACAACATCACATTTACTCCAAAAACATGCGTTTTTTATTTATTTTATTAAGTAGGCTCAACTCCCAGCATGGGGCTTGAACTCAGGACCCTGAGATCAAGGGTTGCAAGCTCTACAGACTGAGCCAGCGAGGTGCCCCAACGTACACGTTTTTTTTTTGTTTTTAAAGATTTTATTTGACACAGAGCACAAGAAGGGGGATCAGTAGGCAGAGAGAAAGAAGCGGGAGCCCAACGCGGGGCTCAATCCCAGGATCATACCCTGAGCCAAAGGCAGACACTTAAGCAAATGAGTCACCCAGGCACCCCAGCATACACGTTTTTTGTTTTGTTTTTTTTTAAAGATTTTATTTATTTGACAGCGAGAGGGAACACAAGCTGGGGGAGAGGGAGAAGCAGGCTTGCCGATGAGCAGGGAGCCCCATGTGATGCGGGCGCTCCATCCCAGAACCCTGGGATCATGACCTGAGCCTAAGGCAGACACTTAACGACTGAGCCACGCAGGCGCCCCAGCATACACGTTTTTAAATACTCTTAGCCTGTATGCCTTTGTTAGGGTGTGGATACACTCTGTTTAAAGAAGTTAAACCCAAGATACAGAAGATTAATAAAGAGAAAAGCAGATATTAAGGAACCAATTGACTTGATAAAACCAAAACCTGAATTCTAAAAATAAACCCCCAGCTAGGCAATTTAAGGTACAAAGCAGATACACAAAATTTACTATAAAATAATTGAAAATGCTTTTCTAACATTGTCAGCTTGAAATGTTGACATTTCCTTTTTTTTTTTAAAGATTTTATTTATTTATTTTGCAGAGAGGGACACAGCGAGAGAGGGAACACAAGCAGGGGGAGTGGGAGAGGGAGAAGCAGGCTTCCCGCTGAGCACAGAGCCCGCTTTGAGGCTCGATCCCAGGACCCCGGGATCATGACCTGAGCCGAAGGCAGACACTTAACGACTGAGCCACCCAGGTGCCCCTCCTAATTTATTTTTATTATAAAGACAATACTAAAAAAAAAAAAATCTAGATGGTAGAGGAAAAAAGGAATATCTGCTTTTAATACCTGGTTAGAAATGCTCCATCTAGAATATCCAGTGAGGTTTGCTGGGTGTAAATAGTTAAAGCAGTTTAAAAAAAAAAAGTTGGCATGGAAGACCTTTCCTCAATAGACCTAAAAGCCTCATTTTTGTTATAAAAACAAAGTTGGATTATTTTATTCATAAAAAATTAGTGATTTAATGTGCTCACAAAAAGTTAAAACAACCTAAGCAGGAATTTTTTTTTAAGTAGGCTCCACGCCCAATATGGGGCTCGAACTCACGACCCTGAGATCAAGAGTCTTCATGCTCCACTGACTGAGCCAGCCAGGCGCCCCTAAGCAGGCGTTTAATAGCCATTTTGAAAGCCAAGTAACATTCCATTTGTAACTGACATTGATCAAAGCTTCTCTGGTATTCATAAAACATGGTAAATGAAATGCTAAGCAAAACTGTTGCATCTGAAATGTTTGTTCCTTTATTCTCGAAGACAAGAAAAGAAAGCACATAATATACTTGAAAATTCTAAAAGCAATTGAGTCATCTGTCTGGTAGTCAGGGTGTTAGGTCCCTGCCCTTCTCAACAAAGCCAGGAGTTCACCTGAGGTAATGCGTTTGCCTTGGGGCTGAGGCCTTGAATTGCAGCAAATAACCTACATGTATTTGCATATTTAACCGGTACCCATAAAAGAGATTATAATAAAAACCTGTTCTGGACAGCTGCTTACTCACTGCCTTTAGAATTGCGTGGTGCTGGGATAGGCAGGCGCCAGCTGTTTGCTCATTCTCTCTGACCTACTAGCCTTGCAGAGTTTGCTGTGTGGGCGTTGATACTACTAAATTAAAAGAAAAATTTTATTTTAGATGGCCCCCGCTCTCCACCCAAACACCCTGGATTCATTTGAGACCTGGGATTCTAATTCTGTAGTTGGGAGACGGGCCCAAACTGTGGCCCAGCGTGAGTCAGTTGTAAGTGGCTGGCTGACTCTATGGGAACAGAAACGAAATGCAGCTTAAGACGGTTTGTCAGCCAAATCCACAAATGTGTGGCTTTTTGAAACATTGGACATCTGTTCCTTTTAATTTAAAATAAACTTTTTTAAAAAGCACAAAGTTGCTTGGCTCCTTGTTTCTTTTGTGTCAGCGGCGGTTGCTGCTCTAACTTAGGAAGCCTTGGATCAGAACATTGGGAATCTTTAGGGCACAGTTCAGAGAGGGAGGAACAGAGTTGCTTTGGGAGGGGAGGAGATGACTTTACGGGATTGAGTCTGGAAATCCCCTTCAGGGGTAATCAGCCCAGGTGTTCAACCCGTTTGTTAACTATTTCCAAATGACTCAAAGGACAGAGGGAGGGCTTGGATGCACTCCAGCAGGATTTCTACAATGTAGTCTTTATTTGCATTGGAAACCACATTCCTGAATTCTTGAGGGGAAGGCTCTGACTTATTCTGGGCATCTTTGACTAAGAGGGACCCCAGGCCATCTATCCAAGCTAACAGGCACTGCCTTCTTTTAAGAGTTTCCAAGGGGGTGAGTATGTGCAACTGATTTGATGGCCTTCCACCTAAAGCCTCCTAGAGAGGCCTTGTTCTGGGAAGGAGGCATCTGTAGGCCACATTTCTCTCCCCCGCACCTCATCCTAAATGTGCCATTTCCCTTTGTTGCTGTGTATCCCCTTTAGGCGGTGAGAACATGAGCAACCTTTTCCTTCAGGCGCTTTTGACCGACCCAACCCGACAGCACTGCTTAATTGTGTCCCAGCCTGTTTCCAATGGGGGAAAAAACTCCGTGGAGTAAGGCAGTTTGAGATTTGAAGAGAGATGCTCTGCCTTTCCTTGAAGGTGG